TGGCCTGCTGGGCGGTCTGCTTGGTGGCCGATTGAGTGGAGTCTGATGGCTTGGTTCTGGTCGTCGTCCGTCCTCCAACCTACTCATTGTGGCTTCTGTCATACTATCAGTTCGTGTATGCGCCCGACTATAGCGACCGGATTCCGTATCACTATCTCGATCGCGCCTTCTGTCGAAGAATCGTTTGACGAGAAGCGCACCACCACCGATAGCTCCTAGTTTGAGAAGCTTGCTTCCCCAGCCACCACGACGTGATTCCTCATCGGAGTACTTGTCTTCCGAATAAGATATCTGTGAGTCTTCGTGACGTTCTTTCGGACGTGAACGGCGCCGGAAAAGCGCAGCCAGACCCGCCCCTGCAGCTCCTGCAGCGGCCATGCGGCCAAAGCTGCTATGACGTCGATCTTCGACTCCTGAGGGTTCCGAAACATAGCTGTGCCGAGCGTCATATTCACTTCCTGTGGGATATCCCTCAGAATCGTACAGGTACGAGAGAACGAAGAATGTTGCCAGAAGTGCGAAAGCAGCTACCGAGTATAGTATGAACAAGGATTTCGGGGAGCCGTAAAGGGTGAGTCCCAGGGGAATTTGCACTAGACCTAAGATTGCAAGAGCACGACCAAGCCACCGATGGATCTATGGGCAGATTAGTTGAATGGTGCCGAGGTATGAAAAGACAATGGCTTTGTTCGCCGCACTCACAACTAGCTTCAGCGGAATATGGTATCTCTTCCGCTTACTCTCAATTTTGTGCACGAGATACCCCCATAATACCTGAAAAATAACCATGACGTAGATCGCTAGACCTATGCCATGATGAGGGTTCGTGAGACTTCTCTCAGGCCCGACGGCAAACCACCCGAGGACAAAGACGACGGTGCTCAATAAGAGTGTCAGAACCTGACACCAGACATGTAGCTTAAAAGCCCAGAAAGGATTCCATCGCGAATAATATCGTATGATCAGGACCGATATGGGCACTAAGCCGAGGAACACGATTGTTGCAATGACACCATGAGCGATTATCAACGTGCGGTACTGGGGCATATCTCGGAACCGGTTCCCCATGCCTGGAATGTACGTCAGAAGAAGCTTAACCTTCACACATTTATGCGACTCCACCCACCGTTGTATTGCATAGTCTCAAAGTTCACACCCATCAAGTTGGGTAGAAGAAACGTTTCGCGACCCGAGTCCCATGTTCCATCTCCGACATGCAATGTATTGGAGGCATACGTGCTGCTCCCCGGAGCCGTGAGGTCTGAGTTTGACGACATGACTTCCGTACGCACCCCCTCGCGACAGCGACCTGCGAGACAAGGGAATGCCGGAACCACCAAGGAGATCTATTTAGATCCCCCACTCCGAAGAATGCACCATGCGCTTAAAGGAAACCAAATAGAAGCGTGATGGACTATCGGTTGTGCCTGTCAATTGGCTAAGCAGATCCAAAAATGGAAGCCGTTTAAGCTTCTGAAATGTCGTGGATGGAATATGTCTTCCGTATAATCGTGAGGCTGGCGGTGATGAGGATCGAAGTGGGGACAAGACGATAGAACGAAAAGGCTGGAAAAGAATACCAAATATGGTGTCAGACAAAACACCAAAAAGGAAAATATAAAAGATAAAGCGTCTTACCAGAACCGGCTTGAATGAAGCAATACTGACAAGAATAATAATCAGCCTCTGGAAGGGAGCAGATGGCTGGATGCTGGGGCGGCTGAAGGAGTAAGTGTCTGATCAGCATCACAACTGTTTGCCGATTTGGGTTTAGTGTGACAACTCATATCCCGAGCAACCAGCCGCTGACTCAGCCACTGCTCTCTACACCGCCTGCTGCTTATGGATAGTCGTGTGCCTAAGGTGTCTCATGAGCATTCTTATCAGCTGGACCCTCGGGTGGTTTGGCGGTCGTTCTCAGTCCCTTGATCCTCGATGTCCTTTGACCTTTTTGCATATCAACGTCATTCTTTTTCGTCTATGATTACTTTAAAGGCAAGACTAACTGTAGGGCATGTCTTCTCAACTTGAGATCTTCGTGAGGGCTCTCTCGCGGTGAGTATCGATTATCACTGATACGACTGACATGTACTGATAAGCCGTTTATAGCCTGTTAGGATGGATATAGTATGTGACTGTGTTCTTCCAAGTCAATCTGGGGCAGATAAATCTCCTGAGAGGCTTCCGTTCCAAGATGGCAGTTCGGTTGCTGACTTGAAGACGCAGTATGTTTTGCTGGTCGGCATCCTTTTATCCCCAGCCGATCAGTAACTTTCGACGGCGTTCAACAGTTGGATTGGCCATTGACTTTCCCACTATCAACGTCCTGGGCTTTGTCTGCTACACAGCATATACGTCTGCCTTTCTTTACTCTCCTGTGATTCGGCGGCAATACGCCGCCCGTCACCCTTCGGATGAGGAGTCCACAGTGCGCTTCAACGACTTTGCCTTTGCCGTGCATGCTGTCATCCTCAGCACGTTAGTTTACACCCAATTTTGGCCTAAGATCTGGGGCTTCAAGGTCTCCCGCTTCCAGACCGTTAGTAAACCGGTTCTTGGCCTCTTCTGGGGCTCCATTGCAGCGATAGGTGTAGTAGTTTGCATTGTTTTGGCTAAGAGCCCTGACCGAGGATATGAGCCATCCACCTGGGCATGGATCGATGTGGTAAGTGGTTTGGGGACTTTGAAAGACTTATAGGACGTTTCGTGTCAATTCTGACTCCGCATCTTCTAGATTTACGCCCTCTCATATGTGAAGTTGATCATCACCATTGTGAAATATGTCCCTCAAGCATGGGTAAATTATAAAAGAAAGTCCACAGAGGGGTGGAGTATCTCCCAGATACTTTTCGACTTGACCGGTGGGATCCTTTCTCTTCTGCAACTAGTTTTAGATTCTTCGTTTCAGAGCGACTGGAGTGGCATTACTGGAAACCCCGTGAAGTTTTTATTGTCAAACGTGACCATCCTGTTTGATTTGGTCTTTATCGTGCAGCACTATATCATTTACAGAGACTCCCTGGAAGGCAAGATCAACCGTCATCCGGACCTCGTCACTCCCCTATTGTCGGACCCAAGAGCAGCTAGCGCTTGACCTCTTTTCTATTTGATGTTGATATATCCATACATATTATGCTCCTTCAGACAATAGTTCAACCATACTTGCTCCCTTTGAACCTACTTGGACTCATCTGCATCACGGACGTATGTAGCCAGCGCAATCAATAGAATTCTACAGGAAGAAAAACTGGTAAGGCTTCCTAGGCTGCCAAACCCAACGCAGCGGGACGGGAAGGAGGAAAAAGTCAGTTGTCTAGGGAGGGCAAGACAAAAGTGAACCGTTTAGCATGACAAAAGACAAGCAACACTTGAAGGCTTGTTGATACACCACGAACCTTGTTCTGCTGACACCGCTCTTTTACAGCCACCCGGGGGGCTTTTCTGAGGGCGTCCCGGGTTTCCATTTTTATCCATTCTTTGCAAAACAATCTTCTCAGGAGGATAAGCACTGAAAAATAACACAATGAGTTTGCATTGGAATCTGGGTTCGCTTGATGAGACCGTCACAGTGAATATGACAGGAACCGAGCGGATGTAAGGCCAGTGTAAACATATCCAGTCCAGTCACCAAGGTGCGGGGGCCTGATTATGGCGCAATGCCATGCATGTTTTAGCATATGCACAGTGAGAAAATAGCATATCCTCTTCATCTTCTCCCTATTATTCTACTGTTATGTTCATCGTTCACACCGCACGGAACCATGCATAGGGATAGGGCCAAAGGTGAGACAGAGTCACGTGGCTCGCAGGTTTTGGCCCAAACAAGCATCTTAAAGATGCTCTAAGCCTCTGGCCGATCGGCCTGGGTCGACCAGCCAAAGGGGGTCTTCCCCTGTGTGGAGGCCGATATCCTCTGTCAGCGAAAGAAAACGTCGTCTGTTTGGTAAATCGCCAGTGACTAATTATAACTCGCAACATCTCAACCAGGCAAATTCTTTCTCGACAGCTAAGACAATTGCCATGCCACTTGCTGATTGCACAGCGTCTCCCGCACCTCAGCCCTACCGGATATCCAATGATGACCCCCCTTGATTGCCAGGACCACTCTGACTCCTCCATACTCGACGCCGGGAGCCAGTGTTGTCAACCACAGATCTCTCGAGCTATGGTGCCTTTGGTGCGGCCGCTGGTGCGAATGAGAAGACAGCTAGAAGACTAATCAGCACTAAGAGTCGAACCCCAGTGTTCGGAGCGTGAATCTGCTGCTATTGGCTCTCGCGCCAAGCCTCGTATAGATCTAACTATATGCAGCCAAGTCCAAGCCCACAACAAGGTTCGGAAGCCACAGGTACCAGCAGCGAACAACTGGTATGAAGGTATGTGTCTCAGCACAACATCATACCAACAGGTTTCTCTCACGGTCACTGGTTCATTATGTCGATCTCCGAGCGTACACCCGACGCTATCTAGAGTTCGAGCCTACCTGGCCTTCTCACATCGTTTCAACGTGCTGTGTGAATGGAAGAACTACAGCATGAAGAACCCAGAAATAGGCATAATCGCACGTCGAGAGCCAATGGTATCGACTCTGATGACACCAACCGCCCCTATGCAGGTTTAAGAGTCGTACATGGGCATTGTGAAGAGTCTCCAGCTGCTAATTCAGTCAACTCTGTCAGCGTGCCGATGCATAACATAGCCACGTCTGACGTTGAGCAATACCATTCGGCTCTAATGAAGAAGGGTTTCCGGCTATATCTTTAGTCAAGGGAAAAAGAAAAGAAAATCAGGCCTTATACTGACCCGACTTATCAGGCACGGAGACATTCCGCTTCAACAATGCTGGATCGCATAACCAGGAACTATTTAACTGCAAGATCTCATGATCAACCCCTGGTTGGGACAAGACAAGAAACTCAATCGGCACCCGCCTCGATCCTGTGGTTTCCTTGAACAGAAACCCGGATCAACTAGCATTTCATACAGTGGCCGGTGACAGCATGACTTTATTCACCACGGACCACCAAACCATCTTTGCCATGTCTTCGCATCAGTATACCTTGCCGGGCATGGACGATGTCCCCGAAACATACCCATACAACATGGGCCAAGCAGACAGTGAGGAAGACGTGGACAGCTTCTACCTGGCCAGTCCCCCAGCGTCCTCATACACAGGCCTCGGCTTCGAGTCAGCCATGCCAGCCATGCCAGCAAGCCAAGCCTACAACACCACCCTGCTGGCACCGATGAGCGGATCATACTTGTCCTACGGCGATCCGTGGACCTCTCAGGTGCCCCCAACAGCAACAACAGCAACAGCAACAGCAACATACCACCCCACCGAGATCTACCCAGCCTCAACAATGGCATACAGCCCGCAAAGAACAACTCCCACCAACCTCAACCTCAACCCGCAAAGCTATCTCTACCCGGGCCCATCAACCCCCAACCCCGACCCGAAACCGCCCTCCCCAGACCTCGACACGAAAGACCTAAACAACTACGGCATCCCCAATGCCGACGGCTCCTGGCGCTGCGCCTACCCAGGCTGCACCTCGGCCGCGACGTTCCACCGCGGCTGCGACCTGCGCAAGCACTTCAACCGGCACCGGAAGCATCTGTTCTGTCGCCACGAGGGCTGTCCGCAGGCTGTTGCAGGCGGGTTCTCGAGCAAGAAGGACCGCGCCCGGCACGAGGCGAAGCATAACCCCGGTGTTGTGTGTGAGTGGCCGGATTGCGGGAGGGTGTTTAGCCGAGTCGATAACATGAAGGATCATGTGCGGCGGATTCATAAGAGGGGGGAGGTTGACTCTTGACCTTGAACTTTTCTTCAGGATGTTGGATGCATTTACGGCGGGTCTGGGCTTGGGTTGGTATTAGCGGCGGATGTCATTGCGTGGGAGTCTTGACGTTTGTTTCTGTTGCGTTTCAGCTGTTGTATTCGATAGACCACCTTATGTTCTTTGTTTGAATTGATTCAAGTCGTATTGCTATATCATATCTTTGCGTATACATGTAGCTCAAATTGAAATGAAAAAAGCTCGATTCCATTCGATTCCAGGCCAAGATCAAGACGCCAAAACTTCCAAAGAAGAACAATGTATGTAGAGGCTAATGTGCAGCTCAGGCAATAGAAAGAATCACTCAACGCCGGCTATCGCAATCACAAGGCAAGTCCCCATCTCGGACACCACGCTGTACCCTATAGCGATGGAAGGATATATGCTAATACAAAACGAACGGCAGCATACAACGAACGCGAACGCAATTCTAAGAATATGGTATCATGTACGGTACGACAAACAGGAACACGGGAAGGGAATTCGTCAATGCATATGCAGGTTACTCGAATGGGCGGTCGATCCTGGGTGGTGATGCCGACGAGAGAAGTGTTTCGACTGTCGGCATACTGGAGGCGAGTGATTATGAAGGGTAATGCAGCGTACAAGCTACAGAGCAGTGGTTCGGCGTCGTCGGCCTCGAGTGCTGCCCTCGGGTCTTTGAGATAGCACTCGTCTGAGCTCGGGATCGTCCTTGTTCTTATCGACGTGGTGCACTCGCACGTGTCTAGATTTTGTCAGAGAAACGGAGGGACGGCCAAGAGCAGTATGAAGCTCACCTTTGAAGGTTATCAGGCCGGGGGTATTTATGTTGCTGATCCGGACAGAAAGGGCATACATAACCTGGCGAATTATGGACAAGGCCATGCCGAATCATCTCATTCTTGCGTTTGAATCCTTTGCCGCCAACTCCTCGAGCACATCCCTCGACGGGACAAAAGTGCGGACGATCTTGGGAATGGACATTTGCATGGGAGCTGCAAAAGGTGAGCCCGTTTCTGTCAACGCAAAAAGGTTCAGTGTTGACTTACTTAAGCAAATATTGAGTCTGAAAAGGCGGAGCAGTACACCCTGGATGTCGGCATTTGAATGTGCCTGGAGGAACCGGTGCGGTGGGCGGCGGGCCTGCATTGAAAGGCGGCCGTTCGCCCGTTGGGGTCTGATCGGTGGGAGTGGGATAGCTGGTTGCCGGACTCTTGACTGCCGATGGCGAAGGTTCGTAATGCGGCGTTGTAAGATAAGTAATGTCGGATCGTGTATGCCTCCACTGGGGTTGTTGCTGCGATGCTGGAGAGGACACGGCCGACATGCCCTTGGAGCTCGCAGGGGAAAGATGGGAATAAGGACTAGGGGGGACCTGCGGTGGAGCAAATTGTCCTGGCCGTTGATGATCCCACGCCGGTTCATTCCTTGGTATCGATGGAGGTGATGTGGATACTGGAGGAAGAGAGTAAGGCCCTGAGATCTCGGCCAAAGCAGTCTGTATCGATGGCAGGCTATGCTGTTGGTGGTTATCTGGCGATTTGGCGATTGCTAACGGAGGAGACGTCTGGAGTGCTGGAAGCAAGGCTTGAACCGGTCCCTCTGAAGGTGATATTGCAAACTTTTTCAAGGGCGAAACAAGGGGAGACTTGCGTTCGACGGTGAAATTTGGCGGCGGCGGCGGATGTGATTCTTTCGGAGATGATACTTCGACTTTGATGCTGATTGGCTCGGCCTGGGTTACAGGTGGTTCCAACAAGTCCTTGATCGATTGGGGCGGAGATGCGCTCTTGAGAGTCGGAGGTGACACCAAGTTTTCAGGTTGTGGTAACACGTCAGGGCCAGACGACAAGAGTTGGAGAGCTCTCTCCGCCACTGACGAAGCCGGTTCCTGGAATTTGACATCTTCCACTGCTCGAGGGTCAATTCTCGTTTTCTGCAGATTTGGTTGATCCTCTATCCAGGGATCCCGAAGGCGCGGATGTTCTAACTCGTAATTGGCAATATCCGGGCGATTCGGTTCTAGATGAGAGATCAGTACCGAGTCGCCCTCAGTTGTTTCGGGCTTGGATGTCGGCGACGGCTTACGGGGAAAGTCCGAAGACGTTCCCTCATCTCCAGGGTATTTAGCAGTAGCATCAGATTTAGAGAGCGAATCTTGTGTTAGAAACGGGGGCAGCTGCTCGTCGGGCTTATAATTTGGTTTCTGAACCTCTAGCCCGGGAGTGAGCCGGTCGTCATCTGGTTCGTATGCGTCGGTCATGGAGGCGGGCTTTGAGGGGGCATTAGGAAGCCCTTCCTGATAGATTTCCTCGTCTATGGGTACCTTTGCCCCCAATCTACCTCCCTGTGCCAGGCTTGGGGGGAAAAGTCTATTCCAAGCTCACTAGCCCGCAACTGAGGGGAGCAGGTGAAGAGAGAATCAAAGCACATAAGACACAGTGCTTCTTCAGAGGAAATATCTACTGACATCGTTAGCACATGTGACTAACAGAAAAAGGAAAATATGTTGAATAACAGCTTAAATAAGACTGATCAGGTCGCCAATACACCTGTTTGCTCAGAAGCAGTCCGCAATTTCTGGGGTGAAAACCCCGCAGTAGACCGTCGGCCATCCAAGAGTCTGACCAGGAATTGATCTTGACGTTTTTGCATGAGGACTACCGTTGACTAACCAGAGAGAGAAAAGGCGCGTTTCGCGTTATGGAGCAGTTTATTGATGGTGGCGCCAGTCCAAGCTCCATGTCCTCAGAAGGGTAGAATGCGGGAGAAACTGAGGCAATTTGAGGTAGGCTCACCTTTAGGAATTGGAAAGACCTCGTGGCTTGAAGTCTGTGGGTGATTCTAGATGGGACCGATGATGGTTGCAGGAGCCGGTCACCTGCAGCGAGGCTCAGAAGAAGGCCGAACCGCACGGTCAATGGCGCGGATCGAATTGATATACCAGGTGCATCGGCAGGCTGGGAGTACCAGGGCAAAAATACCGAAGATATGGACGAATGAAACGTGCAGGAGAATGATGACAGAGCTGTGATGTTGGGAGGGAGGAGACAAACACAAAGATCCCACAGGGCGCAAAAAAAGTCCAGAATTGAAGGAAAGCGGAGTTGCCAATGGGAGTAATACTTGGGAGTGTTATTATAACGGCTGTGGACTTGTGGACATGTGCTTGTGGTGACGACGCTGCAGTAGCGGGTTTCGTCGCAATAAGAAGAATAGGTGTGGTAGCAGTAGAGGTATTTCGGAGGAGAAAAGAGTAGTAGAAGCAAAATGCAGATCGGGAAGGGTAATAAGAGTGACAATTATAACAGCAATGACAGCAGTAGCAAAGTCGTGCGTGGCCAGAGGAAGGAAGATCAAATCAGAAATACTGATGATAATAAATAAATGATCAATAATAGGAATAAGTATCGAGACTATGGCCTTCCAGACGATGAGGCTACTGCCTTCTGAGCTAGTTAGCTCAAGCGGGAGAGGTGACGCTGGCTTGGCGGAAACGGTTGAAAAGGGTTTAGAGTGAGGAATAATGGAGGAGAAAATGGTCAGAGAGGGTGGAGGAGAGAAGGTTTAAGCGGTCAAAGGTAAATCCACGGACAGGCAATAGTTCCACGGACACCGATAGATATATGATGAGTAGGAGAGAGATGATGAGAATGATAGCGACCTTGTTGTGTTGGGGATGAAGACGAAGGATTGCAGGAAGTTTGCTGTTCTAGATTATCGCAAGCACTTTCAAACCCGAATACTTGGGTGAAATCTGCCCTAATTTCACTCTCTCCAATTTTAGTAAAATGTTGTCAGATTTCCGATGATTATTCGAGGGAGAAGGTAAGGGATGAGATGTCATGAGATAGGAGAGGACATCAGTCTCGAGAATGGAAAAGAAGAGAAAAAGGTCGTTGTCCTGACGCTCAAGAGTGCTGGGTTAACTGTCTTCCAGACGCGCCACACAGGCAAAGCAAAGTGGGGTTTGAGGCAGGAGGACGGAATACAGTACGACTATTCCTTTATGGCGCAGGCATGGATTTTCAATTTAGATGAATTTTAGTAGGGAGGGAGGGAGCGAGGTAGCGCTTGTCCACTGTCCAGTCATCTAGGAGCCCCAGTAGGTACCTTAGTCTAGCTGTCCAGGTAAATAATACCTAATAAATGATTGACAGCAAAGTATTGCCATCAGTCATCATAATACCGCTTGATATTATTTCAAGGAAAACAATGCTAACCGACCAACACGGACAGTAGTGTCCTAACTATACGATATTCCTTGTAAACGGGGATTGTCCGAGACCTTGTTTTATCCAAGTTGAGTGTGGATTCATCAAGCCTGTGAATATTTTTTAAGAGACACTGGCTTAATGAAATGAAGATGTGTTATCTCATTCCCCATGATCCTCAAGGAGTTGACGCCTGGACCTAGGTAGCTCTATTTCACAGTTTCACCTAGCACCGGGTTCTAACGACCACGAGCCTCTTCCGGGCCAGCCGCACCATCCAACCAAACAACCTCCACGTTCGGGCCATTTGAGGCTCTCTGCAGAAACACTGTGTATGATTGGTCGGCTAACGAAGGCAAAAAGAGGAGGCTGAAGTTGCTCATCTGCACCGAACCGATGTGGAAAGCTCTGAATCCAAATTACTTGTCTGTGAATGGATTCTCGACGAGGGAATCCTTCTGATTTGCCTTGATCTCATCGGTCTTGTGATGTCCATGGCTCCATGACGAACCAGGGACTGTCTAAAGAGGCTCAAACTCTCCAAATTCTCCAAAACTTTGAACTCCTGAAGCTCTGGCCTCAGAGGTCAGCCTGCTGCGATCTGCCTTCTTTCCCCTCACCATTACGAATTACGTGCTCGTACATGAGCGAAGAATTGTAGGGTGCTTTTTGACTCCTGGTTTAGTGCCTAAGGCGACAAGGCTGTAAGCCTCGCATCGATTAGGTAGTCTTCATGCCTAAGACTCATTTCTTACATTTTATCCCCGACCGTACATTCTGGTTCCACCAGCTCTACTCCGTACAAAGACAAAGCAACAGGAGGATTTGAAAATGATTGAGCTCAAAACAGAAGAAAGTTCGTTGATTAGCAGCGATTTCAGGTAGACTGATCCCCCAACACCGAATAATAAAAGAACAAATCCCTCAGTTTAGGACATATACTATCCAAAAATGAGTACAACGGAGACAATGAGGCTGGAAAGTCGCCGAACATCCCGGGCCATCACGGAGATCAATCCGCCCATGAGCAGACGCGGGTTGATATTTCCGCCTTAGGACTCAGGCAACCCTCGACGCCAGGATACGACCTTGAACGAACCATCCGAGGTTTCAGTGTTTGCGATGTCGGAGCCTGGAGTTCAGTGTTTCCACATCACTAGACAGATAGAAGAAAAATTTCAGAAGATGACAGTGGATAAGTAGTTATCTACTCATTGATTCGCATCCGTGTGGGATGATCTGGCAGGCTGATGCTGATGCTGCCAGCCATCAGCATCAGCCTGTTAAGGTGGAGTTCAGACTTCAGCATACCCATGCAAACGAATGTAACATAAAGAACGGACTATTGTATCTCCGGAGTCCGAGCTGAACTGATCGACATATGTTTCTGCAGAACTTATGTCAATTATGATTGGTTCTGGCTCTCATTCCCCTCCCGTGTGCTCCACTTGACTTTTGCCTGAAGCCCAAGATACTACGTAGTAATCCTCCCGAGACAGTTTAGGTACGGTGACAAATCACCCCAGGAAGTGGCGACAAGCTTATCTCGTATTCTCTGCTTCATTCTCAAAAAGTTCTTTTTACCGACGAAACCAGTCTAGTTTATCTAACAGGTTTGTGTTCATTGTCCGACTCAACCGATTTAGTGCTACCCATATCCCTACATGCAGTCCTGCTTGCCTAACGCCTTGGCTTTAGCCTTGGCCAAACAATCCTGGTTGCAATTCCACACCTGTTGCACTGGGGATACCAGGGTCGATTGGCTGATAATTTCCCCCCCATCTGATCTTCACCAAGCATGATTCATCAGGCGCTCAAGTCTCATTCTCAAGGAGGGCAGGCCTTTGATCATACCTTCTTTGAGATCCGGTAAGCGGATCTATCCATTAGCTACCTACAACATCAAGCCAGTAAAAGCGGGCCGCCCCGATTGACCCCGCCTGGTTCATTTCCCATCCCAGTTGATCAAGAGTAAGACAGAGTAGGTATGAGGAATCAACTTTCTATTCTGGGATCACTAGAGGCAGACTAGATGCGAAGTCATTGCACTGCATGATCCACAGACTGATCACTGCATTGCGCAGGCCAATGCTATGGAGGGTAGCATGCTAGCTTGGATTCACAGCTGCAACGTGAGCGATTCTAAACGGGGCATATGGCATTGCATCTACTACTCCTAGGGAGAATAATAATAGTGACGATGATGCCTTTGTAGTTGTCATTGGATATATATTACTGCCAAAATACTGATGAAAAACATCCGCAGATACATTCCAGCTCTGCTGGACTTTAGTACAAACTAAAATTCGATATGCTTTCCACGCGGTGGAGCCCGTCCACAGACACTGGGAGTACGTACTCAGAAATCAACCTTGTAATCCAAACCCAGACTTTGTAGAATGGACTGGTATTACCTTGCAGAGTTCTACAACCCACCGGTCGTACAGGCAGAACAAACAAAGGCTCCCTGAGCCGCACCCAATTATCACCGCGAGCAAACGGTGGCTTGGCCCGAGGGGCTTGATTGGATGACTGCCTTGTACTTTGGTTTCGCTCCGGTTTCTCCCTATTGTGCGTTGTTTAAATATCTGTGCTTACTGCTTGTTTATACATAGAAGCTGGTGAATGGAGGGTATAGATTTTCCGTTGAGAACGGGTCTGGGCTGATGACGTTGACACTGACAGCTGGCAGTGTGATTTTTTTTTTTAGCTGTATGTATGGGAACGAACAATTGATGCTTTAGCGACACATACATGCTAGTTACGGAGGAGTGTTTCGTACGTATTATCGTACTACAGCAGATAATACTACAGCTTCCCCTTCTGACGCACCTGCTCCTGGACCTTCTTGACCCGTTCCCACGCCCCCAAGGCAAATGGCCCGGTCATCTGCGCGTATTCTTGCGCACGCGCACTGCTGGCCTGGCGCAGGGCATACCGCGCCGCAATCCCCTGCATGATCACGGAGCTCCTCCACGAGAAGAACGCATCCCCCCACAGGATATCCGGCGTGGGGTCCCACCCGGCGACCTCGCGGTACCACCGCACGCAGTCCTCGCGTCTCGGCAGGCCCGGCACCACGCCAGGCTGGAACTGCTCCGTCTTGTGCTCCGTTCCGCCGAGGAAATAGGGGCTAGTGAGATTACAGAAGTCGGACAGAGGGTGGCCAACCGTCGCCATCTCCCAGTCCAGGATGCCGATGACGCGGGGCTCTGTCTTGTGGAAGACCATGTTGTCAATCTTGTAGTCGCCGTGCACGAGGGTGCCTCTGTCGAGTGGCTGGGTGGCCTTGTTGGAGAAGAAGCGCACCATGTCCATGAAGTGAGGCAGTTCACCGACCGGCTTCTTGGTCTCGATGTCGACGGCCTGCGCCTGCGCGTTGGACACAGCTGTGAAGGTGGCGATCTGACGGTCGTAGTAGCCGGACGGCTTGCCGAATCGCTCCAGGCCAACGGACTTGGGAACGACCCGGTGGAACTTGGCTAATGTGCGGACTGCATCGCGCCATCTGGGGCTCTTAGTACCTGTCCGTCCTAAAGAAAAGGGCTAGACGTACAGTGCGGTTCGCTCTTCTGCGCTTACGCCGGGGATGGCAGGATCTGTGAACATTCGGCCGTCCAGGAACTCCATGATGTAGAACGGAGTGCCGATCACATTGCTATCCTCACATAGGCAGTATGCCTTGGGGACAGGGACGTCGGTCTTCTCTAGCGCGTGGATAATCTTGTATTCTCGTTCGACCTGGTGCGCCGTCTTGGACAGGAGCTTGCCTGGGGGTTTCTTGCGTAGGACATATTGTTGCTTGTCGGAGCCGGTGATTAGGTAGGTGGGATTGGATTGCCCGAAGCCAAACTGTCAAAGTTAACATATCAACTGAGTGAAGAAGGGATATTAACGACGTACTTGTTTCACCTCAATTGGCGTCTTGATGATAGGCAAGTTCTGGTCGAGGTATCGCTCCAACGACGGGATATCAATCGGTTGGCGTACAGCTCCAGCCATGACGCCAACTGTCAAACAATATTTGGTTTAGAAATCCTTCCACCCAGTGTCAACCCGGACAGGTACGTAGAATCGAAGGAATCTGGAGACAGAAATAACCCCGGTAATAAGAAAGCTGGACATGCTCCAGCTCAGCGCCAGCAGCTGCGGACCGAGGCAAAACAGTCCAATTGGCAGCAACCCGATTTCCTTGGCCCGAGCTTGCACTTGCGGGGGCGTCGGAGCTCGGTCATTGGGATGTTATGCCTCAGGCTAAAATTTAGCACAAAAAGAGCAAACATGCCAAGCCAATTAACAACGCGGTGCGCGTACACCGCCAGACGCGTCTAACCATAGTATGCATCTTCTGCTGGTCAATTATTACAGCTCTGGACAGGCACACCGCAATTTCTTTCTCTTCCATACATCTCGCAATCTCAATCCAAGTTATGACAAAAGAGACCACACCACCGCCGCAACAATCTACCGCTCCCACCCACGAACCTCCCTCTCTCCCCGCCTCTCCCCTCGCCAAACGAACAAAACCCGATACCAACACAGCCAACACCAACAAGATGACCACCGGCACAGCACCCGCCGTCACCTCCATCTCTCAGCCACTCCCTCCCCTTCTCGTCAAGAAGCTCACCGAGTCCGCACAAGCACCCACCCGCGGGTCCGCCTTCGCCGCAGGCTACGACCTCTACAGCGCAAAGGAGACCGTCATCCCAGCCAAGGGTAAAGCCCTGGTTGACACTGGGCTTGCGATTGCTGTGCCTGAGGGAACATGTACGCTGCCCCTTCTTTCTCTGCCAGGAAAATGTATGCTGATTAGTTGACGAACAGACGGCCGCGTTGCCCCCCGGAGTGGCCTTGCCTCGAAGCACTTCATCGATACCGGGGCGGGCGTGATTGACGCTGATTACCGGGGTGAGGTGAAGGTGCTGTTGTTCAATTTCTCGGATGTGGATTTTACAATTAAGGTGGGGGACCGGATTGCGCAGCTTGTGCTTGAACGGGTGAGTTTTTGGTCGTCTTCAGGGTGTGTTGATGCTGATGGCTAACCTAACTAGATCTATACGCCCGAGGTGATGGTTGTTGAAGAGTTGGAGGAGAGTGTCCGTGGGGCGGGTGGATTCGGAAGTACGGGTCTTTAATATAAAGGAATTTGGATTATTTATGACATAGATAGACATGACGATACTGAAAAGATGACAAGTTACTCTCATAATACGTTCTATTCATGACTTTAGGTCTATCAACAAGTCTATAGTACGTCTAAATCATGCACTTGACTATTGAAGTCCCACAGGCAGATCTTCCCTTTTCCATTCCTGCGCCTGGAACTCCACATCCGGCTCCCGCAGGAAGCGCGCATTCCGCACAACCCTCACCTCGGCGGCCTTCGTCCGTCGCAAATACTCCCTCTTCTGCTTCTCCTCCTCACTCAAGCCCAGTTCAGTCTCTTCCGCAGACGCAGCGGCGCGGAGCTCCGCATCACGCGCTTCCAGGGTCCTTTCCAAGATACTGTGCATGCTCGCGAGCACCTTCACGGTGGCCTTGGCAAGAGGCAAGTCAGTGGCTTGGACGTCGTCCGAGGAGACCCACGACTTGGTCGAGCGGAGGGTGGAGTCGGCGTCGAACACGGCTTCGCGGAGCCGGGCGACCATTAGGGCCGCGAACATGTCGCCTGTGCCGCTGAAGAAGCAGTCTAGCGCGGGGACGTCTATGCGAAAGAGACGAGGGGAGCCGTCGGATTTGATGGTGGAACCGATGACGGTTAGGTTGCCTGGTGTGGCTTCAGGGGATGAGGAGAATTGGGAGATTCGAACGGAGGTGATGATGACGTGCGGGACTGAGTAGTTGGCGTGGATGGCGGTGATGGCCTCGGCGAGGGTGCTGAGGGAGGTGATCTTGACTCCGGAAAGGACTCTGAGGGGAATGTGGTCAATGAAGAGTGTACCGGACTACAGGCAATGGCAGCATCCTTACTCGGCTTCAAATTGATTGGGGAGAATCAGATCTGCGTGATGCATGATCCTTTTATATGCAGGTACCACATCATCATTGACATATAGCCGGCCCTGGTCGCCCATAACAGGGTCAAGGACTGTATGTTAATTCACCGTTAGCGGGGAATTTCGCTAAAGATAGGATTGAACATACCCCAAAAGAATGAGCCAGGGTTTGACTCGGCCTTGCGCTGCAGATCCAAGCCGATAGCCCCTACTGCCTCTACCGCTGCAGCACTGGGGGCATAACCCGACAACATGACATCGAAATCCGTGAGGTTGCTCTGGCAGAGACCCTGATATAGGTCGCTGATCTCTTGGGCTGTTGACCTTGTGCCTTTGAACTGCCTGTAGCCGGTGTGGTTGCCTGCTGAATGTTAGTTGACTCAGTCTGACAAAAGGATACAGGGTTGATTACTGAAATGGACAGTATTCAGGGCGGCAACATCACACCCCAACAACTGCATGACCAGCGTAGCCATTTTATTGCCAACATATCTGATGCCGTTAGTCGCTGCTCAATTCGCATCGGCAAGGTGCACGATATAGATGACACGAGGGCTATATCCGGGTGCACTTGGAGGGGTACAGTGACACAGCAGATAGTACGTACCCGTAGACAACCTGGTTCTCCTCGTCAGTACCTGTACTCCGACTATGACCCATCAACCGAAGCTGGAATCGAACCGGACAAAAAGACTTACATGACTCGCAATGGCGAGTACCCTTGTTTCAGGTACTAAGCTGTCAGAGGACATGGTATGCAAGTACGGAGTTATAGGACGCTGATCTTTCAGTAAGGAAATACAGTTTATGGCGAAAAAATTGCGATGTTCCTCGATCATACACAGCTCATGGTAGTCTGACCTTGAATCAACTACCGCAATCGTATCTGATACATGAATCACTACTTAGATAGGCATCTGTCTGGATGACAAAACGCGGATGGAAGTGGAGGGAATTTTCTGGCGGCATGATTGGCCAATCAAGACTCGGCTCGATTTCCTGCTTTGTCCATGTACCCCGGTGTTCGGAGTACGTACATCGACGGTAAATGGCTGGTCGAATGGCGCCGATGGGTCCTTTTCTCCTGGTTTTCCGCTTTCTAAGTCAGGGGTCAACCGAAGGCTTTTCTGTACGAGGTATGAAGTAGATACTTACTCGTAGTCTTATTCCTCTTATTCCTACGGAGCATCATCGCATTTAAAAGAAGCTGAATTGTCTTGCGATCGTCGCATGATGGAGTCTGGACTCTGGATATATCCTCTGTAGACCACTGACCACTGACCACTGACCACTGACCACTGACCAATGCGCATGGTCATGGGGCATAGATAGGTCCTAGCTCCACGGAGTATGGCTTCTCCGAAGATGTTCCCCTTTCTTCGCTTCTAGTGTCGACTTCTGTGGAAGAGATGCTAGTAATCGGACCTCTGCAGACAAGAGATCCACTCGTCCATGTTCTACTCGTGGCCAGACCGTTCCTTGGTCCATTGGTGGCTGCTAAATTTACGTTCGCTGCTATAATGCCCAATTTTAAGGCAGCTGTCTCAATAGACTGACGCCAAAAGCACTGATTTTTCAGGGCGGTCCGTACCACCAGGAGCCCTAGGCTGAATAGTCCAAAGTTAAACTCTACAGTCACACAGCGATTCTCGTTGTTGCTGCAGTTGTCTCCTGGAGGTTTTCGTGCTCTTCCTTGCTTTCCGTCAGACAGGCAGACAGGCTTCCTATTCTTTTCTTCTTTGTCTGTCAATGGAGGCTGGATCATGATTCTCCTATGCCTCCGCCGGGGCAGTCTTAATCCTTTTGCTGTCCTTTCTTGATTGATGATTCTGGTACGGAGTAGTGTTGTACTAATAGTCGCTCATTCTACAGTCGTTGATGATATACCAACCACCAGGTCAAAGACTCCGGAGACGATGATAACCACTGGCCTCTGACTCTCTCTTTTTTATCGCCTTGAGTTCAATTTCAAGCCATTGTGGCAATGTCATTCATTCAATTCTCTGCCAATATGACATCTTTCCTATCTTCCAGTCCATATAGGCCAAGCAGGCCGTCGCAGCCGGGGGAAAGTGATGTGAGACCTGATGGCTGCAGTACATCGCGACATCACCAGTCCCGCAATCCGAAATTGACCTCTCGATTCTCGACCTTGGTCACACTTCTGATGGTACTGCTTGTGTCGTCGCCGGTTTCTGCGGCTGCGATTCCAGACGACTCTCACCCTCTAGCTCATGGCATGTTCCTATCCCGGACTGAGGTCGACGATCATCTAGATAGTCACCGTGCGCAAGAGGGGCAATCCCGATACGGCAGAAACTGGATCATCGAGAGCAGTCTAACCGACGAGGCAGCCACGCTACCCATCCTCGTCGCCCCCGAGGAGGACACTGAGGAGCACACTTCATCGCACCTGCACGCTCGCTCAGACGCCAGCACCAACTCGCTGCCGACAGCCTTCGACACCAATCTCTCCAACAACTTCACAGCCGAGAGCTGCCCCAAGTTCTTCAACGCCTTCCTCTCCAACTCAACCGTCACCTCCTGCTACCCCATCTCGCTCCTCCTCCACGACTCCACCTCATTCTTCCACACGCTCACCTCCGCAACCGCCACCTCGCACGTCCTCGACCTCTCCTGCGCCGCCTCCGTCGACACCTGCACATCCATCTTCAACCGCCTCGCAACCAACCTCCTCAAAGACGACGCCTGCGGCAAAGACTACAAGCTCGGGAACCCGCTGGTCGCAAGCGCCTACACAGGCTTCATGACCTACGAGCCCGTCTACCGCGCTTCCTGCCTTAAGAACCCCGCCACAAACGACTACTGCTTCGTCGATGCAGCCACCAACGCCTCCTCCCCCCAGGACCTCGACACCTACTCCATCCCCGCCGGGTACCCCACCGACGACGCACCTTGGCCCACCTGCAACAAGTGCCTGCAAGCCAGCATGGATATCTTCAGTCGCTGGGCGCAGGTCGATGGCCAGCCGCTCACGACGTC